CGCCATCTATTTATTCTTTGTGTGTCAGGAAGTTGGCCTACCTGCCTGATTTATTTCCCCCCAGGGCTGTCTTTCCATCCTTGATTCTGATCTAACCCCCTGCCTTGTTGTTGAAGCTTCCCCCTGAGAAAATACATCCAATCATTGAAAGCTTTCTTCCTAGTCAGAGTATTATCTTAGGACAAATTGCCAATTTCCTTTTTGATGGAAAATACTAAAATGTGGTTTTTAATAGAATGGCCTGATCCCTTCCCATTTACTGTTCTTTCTAATTTCTAGACAGGACCTCGAAGAAGGGAATGGAGTAGCTGTTAGTCAAGTGATAATGACCCATTGAGAGCATTGAAACACTCTCCAGACTCTCTGGACCTCAGTCTTTCCACATCATGAGTGACTGCTGGGGCACGAGCTTGTTGACCAAGAGTTCACGTGTCTTTTTATCCAGTGCCTAAGCCAGGGTCCAGGGCAATTCTGTACTCAGTATTTACCCAAGAGTTGGACAGATGGCCCATGGCTCAGACCTTAGCAGCTCTGAGCACATTTCCCTCCTCCCTCAGAGCAGGATGCTGAGACAGTGTCCATCAAGACACTACAGCATGTGGTCTCTGTTGGAAGGCTCCATGTGAACAATCATTTGAACTCTGGGTCTAGGACACCTGGACATCTGGACTGAACATTCCTCAGCTCCTATCCTTAAACATGTTCAAAATCACAGTCTAATTAGCTCACACGCGGGGTTTCCTGGGCTCTTCCTCCAAGCATTGCAGCCTGGAGATCTTGGGACTCTCAGGAGGCAGAAAGCCTTTTGTGCCTCAGGCTCCTTGGCTGATGAGAGTCTGGATAATTTTCCTTCAAGTCTGAGCTGCAGCTCGTGGCCTTTAAAAAGCAGGAAATGGACTATCACAGAACTTTCTGGCAGGTAGAAGGTGCCTTCCTGGGAGCAAGCTTTGGCCTTTGATCTGCCAGTCATCTGTGAGTAGTATTCAGTAAGACAATTACAATCTGTTGCTGTGAGGAGGAAGGACTCTTGGGGCGGAATTAAGAGACATGGATACATTCTTTTGTTTATGTACCTTGTTCCTTCTGGTTCATACAAGGGCACCCACGCTCTCAAACTGGAGATGTGGGAACAAAAATAAAAAGTGTTACTGGTGGAGACAACACCAGGAGGCCCTGGAATAACACAGTGTTCCTTAGCTGCTGGGGCAGAGGAGCCATTACTGATGTCCCCTGGGCATGCAGCTGACGTACTTCTATTTTATGACTAACTCTAAGTGACTCTAGAGCATTGGAAACCTTAGGAAGCACAGATCTTGAGTGCAATCTCCTAGTCTCAATTTGCATAACTCTATCTTAGGCTAATTGAGCTTGTTTTTATTTTATTTGGTATATGAACATAATATTTTATTTCCACTTGGCACATGAAGTCATTTTTATATTTCCTATATGTAGCAGATAATACTAAATGTCACCAGCCCTCTCTGTCTGCCAGCTCCATGTCTGCAATCACCTCTGGTGCAAAAGTGTTTCAGGAGGAAATACAATCTGTACTGGACATTTACAGACTGTTTTACACAGATTTTTAAAATTATGTATATGCCGTGTGCGTGCGTGCGTGCGTGCGTGCGTGCGTGCGTGTGCGTGTGCGTGTGCGTGTGTGTGTGTGTGTGTGTGTGTGTGTGTGTGTGTTCACATGAATGCAGCTGCCCCCAGAGGCCAGAAGAGGGCATCAAAGCTCCTAGAGCTGGAGTCACAGGGCAGTTGGGAGCCGCCTAAAGTGGGTGCTGGGAACTCAACCCAGGTCCTCTGCAAAAGCTGTGTAAATTTTTAACTTTTCCTTAGATAATATAATGGTATTTGTACATAATATAATATAAAGTCATTTATGTATCATTTACATTGCTTTAGGTATTATGTAGAGAAAACTTAGAGATACTTAGAATTATGGGAATAGACCTTATGCAAATTCTCTAGTATTTTACTAACAAACAAGCATCTGTGGGTTTTGGCATCTTGAAAAGTCTTGGAATTAATTTCCTGTTCATCCCAAGGGATGATCCTTGCGCTTTTGTCTGTAATTTTCATACTTTATAATATAGTGATGATAGGAAGTACATTTTACCTCATATATAATAAATATTACTTACATACAAGGTAGCAACTTAAGCACTTTATATACATTAATCTTCACAGTGACTTTTTTCCATTTTTCATTTATGCATGTAAGAATATGTGTGTGTACTTATACATGAGTATATGTGTGTGTATATACATGTATAAGATTATGTAAGAGTATATGTGCATATGTGTATGTGTGCATATGTATACAAATGTGTTTGCATGTGTGTTAGCATATGTATATGAATGTATGTGTGTACACACATGTTTGTGCATGTGTGTATAGGTAAGAGTGTGCGTTCATATGTGTGCATGCATGAATGTGTGCCTGCATGCGAATGTCAGTGCATGCGTGTCTCTGTACATGTGCATATTTGCATTTGTACAGGCACATGTGCATGGGTAAAAGAATCGTCCTCAGTTTCCCTGACAACCTTATTCATTGAGTCAAGTTCTCTCAATCAAACCCAGAGCTCATCAATGAGGCTGGTCTCCCTAGGCAGCTTCCTCTGCAGATCCCAGGTCCTCACCTTCTGAAGCTGGGATTATAAGTAAGCCACTATAACCCTTAGCATTTGCATGTGCCCTGGGCATCTGAAGCCAGTCCTCACGCTTGGGAAGCAAACACGTCACCAGTGACCGATCCAGCCCCTCTTTACAGAGGCTTTCGGCAGAAGTGATCGGGTCACTGCCATTTAACAGAAGAGGAGGCACAGAGTAGTAAGGCTGAGGCCCCACAGAGCAACTGAGAAGCCGAAGCCGCCACTCAAACCACGTGATTCGATGATAGATGCTTGACTGCCATGCTGGACTGGAGCCCGGTGACCAGGCACTTCAGGAAATTTGACTGGACAGATCATGGAAGGGCTCTTAAGAGTTTCTATTGCTGTTAAGAGACACCATGACCACAGAAGCTCTTATATAATCGGGGCTGGCTTCAGGCAGACATGGTGCTGGAGAAGGAGCTGAGAGTTCTACATCTTGATCCTCAGGCAGCAGGAAGTACTGGCTTGAGCTTCAGAGACCTCAAAGCCCACCCCCAGTGACATACTTCCTCTAACAAAACCACACCTACTCCAACAAGGCCACAGCTCCTAACAGTGCCTCTCCCTGTGGCTTATGGGGGCTGATTATATCTAAACTACCACAGGAGGTATAAAGCATCCATGGAAAGAGGGGAATGCTTTACATATGGTGAAGGTTTTGAGCCTCCTATTAATCAGGCCATCTATCTGTAGGCAGCAGTGTACCTGATTAACGTCAAGTCTGTAGAAAAACAGACTTTGAAGAACCTCAGCGGGCAGTTGCTTCGGGAAGAGTAGAATCCGCGGGAATTTCAGGTCAGCCCTTGCACTGGAAATGAAGCTGGGAGGAAAGCTTGCATCTGAGTGCCCCTAGACAAGAGGCAGTAGAGGAAGAGGACAGGACCCAAGGGATCTTCCTGTCTCCCAACAGAGCCATATAGTGCCATCTGGTTTCCTGTCCTCCAAGCAGAAGCCGGAAAGACCGGTCCTAACTGGACAGGCTGGCCCTCCTTAGATGTGTGGCCATGGTGAACAGGTACAAAGCATGTGAGAATCTAACCCCGGTGGGTTTTAGTGGAAGTTCCAGTTATGAGTGAATACAGAGTTTTATAATGGCTTTTAAGCCTAAATTGTTTATTCACAAACATCCACAATTGCTTTTGATGACCAGAGATTATTCCAGATGATACATGAAGGAAAACGGTGTGGGAGAATACAGGAAAAATAAAAAGGTGAATCCTCTTTCCCAAGGATCTCAGAGTAGAGTGATGAAGACAGAGTGGAAGGCACGGCAGTTCGGCAGAGTGCTTTGCAGACCTCTCAGCTTGCTGTGCTATCTGGGAAGGAAGGGCACTTAAAACATCTGAGGGCTAGGGTACCTAGGCTGCTGTGGGAGGGGCAGCCAGCAGGGAGCATGTGTACACAGCAGGTCAAAGGGCAAGATCATCCAGCAGCATTGCCTGTGCACTGAGGATACACAGTGATAGCCCGAGCTCCAGCAGCCCAGCTCACAGCCTCAAGTGACCTGGGCAAGATCCACGTGTGGAAACCAAGTCTCTGCTTCTAGAGCCTTCTGAAAGATGCTGCTGGTTGGTGTGCCAAGGAAGAGACAGTTCATGTCTCCTGACTAGTCACTAAGCTTCAGGCATAGTTCTGTGTGAGGATTTTGCTTTTGTTTAGTTAGGGCTGCTGGTTCCTTTGTTACAGAGTTTCCTTTAACTGTTCTTTCTTACCCACTCCAGCCCTAATCATATCCTCTCCTCACCTATAGCTAACTGGGTCTTCATTTTGAGAGTGTTTTGTTGTGTTGGAAATGCGTCTCATGATGTAGCCCAAGTTGGCCTTGAACCCATGATCCATCCTACTTCATTCAGCCTTTTTCTGCAATTACAGAGGTGGGCTGCTGTCAGATAGACAGGGCTTGTTTTCTCATTGCATTGGGATACGATTTCCTTCTCAGTCAGGAGAAGCCGTCCCTAAAGCCCAAGGCTGTGTCGTACTCCTCTAAGTGGCCCGAGTCACTCCCAGCTGCCCTTCATCCCCTAGGGACTGTTAACGTTATTTACATTGACTGTCTGACTCACTCCCACAAGTGAAAGGATAAACAATTAATGTGCCAGCTCCAGGCAGCAGGCTGGCTTCTCTGGGATGCCCTTAAGAATCGTCTTGGAGAAGACTGTGAGTGTGTCTCTTTAGACTGAACTTTAACTAATTATTCAATCAACAATTTGGCAGGTCAGTCAATAGGAAACGATGTACAGTGAATGAAATTGATCACACTTCATTTCCCATCAATTGTCACAGCAAATTGTGGATGAAGTCATAAGCAAAGGACCATTACTTGTTATTCCTGTGGCTGTTTTTCCCTATCCCCTTCGCTCACTTACACCCCAGGATGACTCATAAAAGCAAGAGTCTTTAGCTCACACAGAAGAAAGCAGGATAAAATGTTTACCACCTTCCGAGATGGAAGGCAAGGTTGAGTATTTTCTATTTCATAATTGATGTGGCTGCAGCCGTATAATCCGCTAACCTTTTCAGCAGCTCGGATGTGGATGCTGGATTTTAAATCCCATGATCCATTATGCATCACTCACTTCCACATCTATTACTGTTCCATCGGCCGAATGACAGGTTTCCTATCAGGGCCTTTTGCGGTGTGGAACTCTGCAACTTTAGGCTGGTGGATAAACGTGTAGAACTTCACACATGGCTGATTTACAGGCAATTAGCAGGAAGCAATGGCAGATTTAATGTCGCTTTTTTTTTAAGTAATGAATAAAGGATGCAGGGAGAAAGATTCCTTCACCGCTGTGAAAGGCTTAGAATGATCTAAGCAATGAATTTGGTGACAGGAACTACTGCCCTCTCCAAAGATGCTGTAGAAATGGAATATATCCATGATTGTTGTGACTGGCAGTTCCTAAGCCCACTCCCAGGTCAGGCTGGTAGATCTCTGAAGGATGTGCCAATAGACCATGAAGAAGGCTGGGCCACACTCAGAGTCACACACCAGCTTCCTCTTTCCCTCTTTTCTTGCATCCTGGAACCTGCCATATCCTTACATAAAGGTCGCTGGGATCTGGCCATAGGCTGCCTGGGACCTTCTAGGAAACACATCCATATGTATAATAACGAGGTATCTTCTCCCAGTGATCTGTGAAGCAGAAAGTATATAATAGTTCACCACTTAGGAAACTCAGGTTTGTTAATTTGACTGGTTTCCCTCTGATTGCATGGCTACACAATGGTAAAGCTAAGTTTAAACTCCAGATCTGGAGGGCAAGATAAGTTTTTCCCCAAATGCCACGTCTATACAAGTAGTGCACTGAGGGTGACCAATTTGCTTGTGTGCATGCACACCTTTTACCCTCTCACAGACATTTACTTGGAACCTTCTATGTGCTAGTCTCAGTATTAGGCACTTGAACTGGTGGTGTTAGAGTCTCATGCCTTGTATAAGCAATTGGTTCCCCCGGATGTAGAGCCTGAGAAGTGTGATCTACAGCTCACAGTTGAGAGTCAAGAAAGCAGATGGTGTAAGTCAGCCCAAGGGCTGAGGACCAGAGGAGCTGTTGGCAAAAGAAAATGAGATGAGAAGTCCCCGACAACACCATGAGTCAGGAAAGAGCTGGATGGAGAGCTGTGGGCTAATGGACTACACTGAGACCACCAATTCAAACACTAGCCTCATCTGGAAACACCCTCTGAGACTCCCAGGATTGACTGGGTCGTTGATTGACATTCCTCTGCAATGTCTGGTGGTGCAGGCATCCACCAGGAGCCCAGAGTCCAGTGGGAAATGACTAATTGGGTCGGAGTGACAGTGCTTTCAGAATACAGAGAAGGGACATCTACTTCACTCTGGAGGAAAGGAGAGCATCTCCAGGTCTTTTCTAAAGACAGAACATAAGGCCTCAAGGGCAAGCAGGGAGTGAGCCAGATGGGAGAACTTCTTAGCAGAGGGAGCAGCACACAGAAAGCTGAGAGGTGTCAGGTTAGCAGGCAGCTGGTAAGCTTAGCGTGCAAGATGGGAAGGCAAGAGTTAGGTAGAGAGCCCCGGAGACAGGTTCACGGAGGGGCTCACAAGATGCCTCATCCCAAGCATGGTCTACTGTTCCTAAAGGCATGTGGATAAGCTTCATCCAAGCTAAGCTCAGCCTCCTCCTCCTCTCCTTGCAGGCTGGAGGGTTTACTTCAGGGTATCACTTCTCAAGGCAACACCTACAGCACACACAGTGATGACTGCTCACCCGATGTCCCCGCCTGCCCTAAAAAGTCATGCATGGCTTTACCAAGGTCACTGGATGTCCTCAGAGACAGAGCTGGGATTGGAGTCCAGGCTTCCTGGACCAGCCGTTTTTGTCCCAGAAATTAAATACTAGCTCTTTTTTGTGTGTCCTTCTGCCCCTCTGAAAATGTTCACTGGGATGGCATGTCCCTTGAAATTACATCTATTTCTTCCCTACATTATTTCACAGTGGAGAAAATAGTATGGTTCTCAAGCCTTTGAACTGGCTACATCCACAGAAGGGAGAAGGGACATAATGCTGAAATTAGGGTCTTCAACATCTTATAAGTTTCCTGTCTGAATGGCTGAAAGGAATGTACTGGCGATTGTTTCAAAAACAATGAGCAAGCCTGGTTATTAAGCCTCTTGTTTCTGAACGGCACAGCGATTTGAAAGGATGAGGAGCCAGCGCCACACAAGGGGTATATGATGTGCTACAAAGAGATGGGGAGGCACGCTGGGCCCCCGAAATGTCACAGAATCAATTGGCAAGCATGAAGGGAACAAGAAGCCCCATCTACGCATCCACTGCATGGACTGTCATTGGGAAACACTACAGGACAAGAGAGGCAAGACCGAGTCTCCAGCCTTTTTTCAGGAAGGAAACACTGGGGGACACTGGAAAGACAGGAAGCTGGCCAGCCACTGTTTCCTTCGGTGTCAGAAAGCCTACAGAGTGGAACAGAAAGTGTCTCCACAACCTGTGAAAATGACAATCTTATTCTCCAATCAGTGTGGGTCGAGAGGTGAAAAACCAATGCCTCTCGAAGCTATGAAGGCGGGACCGGTGTGAGAGTCCGGTCAGGAGAAGGTCCAGGACATAGGGACAAACGCCTGCTCCATACGTCCGGCCTGCTGCTGAGTCCCACAGGCTGAGAGTCCCACAGGCTGAGAGCACTAGGGACGATCAACCTGGGGAGGTCCTGAGGTTTTGAGAGAAACTGGATGCTTGTGCAAGTCACTGATCCGTGCTTGTCCTTACATAGCACGAAGGAAGGTCCTTCACCACAGACTTAGTGAATCTCCACAGTGTGGGGAGCTGCAAAGAGCCCTGTGTGGATAGGCCCTGCAGCCTGTGGGAAGAACATGAGCACGGCCCGTGGCTTCCTAACCCACAGCGTGCATGGCAAGGACTCACTAAGCCTTTACTCCAGCCTTCAGGGGTAGAGCAAAAGGCTTGACTCAGATTCTAAACTCATCTCCAACCTTAACCCTGGTCATAGATGCACACACAAAATCCTCGTGACACCTCATCAGAGACACCCACCCCATCAGCAGGGCGCAGGACTAGTTCTACTTTCAAATGTAGAGTTCCCTTCCCTTGGGTAACTTCAGACTGGAAGAAGATTCTATCAGACCACCTTCGCTCTTTTCTGTTACTGTCAGAAAACAACCGAAACAGTTGACTTCAGAAAATTAAAAAAAAAAATGCTCACAGTTTTGAAGGCTTTGGCGAGAATGTTCACAGTGTCTTGCTCTTGGGCCTGTAGTGAGGAAGTCCATTGTGGCATACCATGTAACAGAAGAAGCTGCCCATCTCCTGTCAGCTGAAAAAATCAAAGAACAGGAGGGGTCAGATGCCCAGGATTCTCAAGAGTGTGCAACCAAGGGCCCCATTCCAGGAGATCCCCTTCCTCAGGCTGCCCCCAGCTCCTAGCAGTTCCATGAACTTGGAACCAGGCTTTCAGAACTTGTCGAAGACATTCAAGATCCAAACGACAGCACAGAACTTCATGAATAAAAAAGAAAACAGAAAGGAGGAAGGTTCTACAAAGAGCCAAAGTTCTGGTGCACTTTTCCTCTCAAAATCTTTGTCCTGTATTTTCAGCCTTGGGTGCCACCTTATGGATAATTCACTCTCCTATCAACAGTCACAAATCCCAACAGGAGTTCTGAGTCTTGGAAGCAGCAGCCAGCTATGGAGTGCTCACCACACCCAGCGCACAGCGGGACTCACGGGCGTATCCTCCCTGCAACCTGAAGCCATGGGTTTTGAGAAAATCAATGCTGTGGACATAGCATTGCAGACTGGAGATCTGGGGCTTAGAGTCATTGAGCTGCTTGGACCAAGTGCTAGGGCTGGGCAGGGGGCTGTTCTTCCACCCCAGCGCCTTTGATCTTAACCAGTGTGAAAAGGCCTGACCGTGGGCCAGGTGGTTCATTGGAGCCAGGCCTCAGTTTCAGCACGAAACCCTCCCCACACCCACACCCACACCCACACCCACACCCACACCCACACCCACACCCACACCCACCGCAACATGGCTCAGCTGGGGAAGGCACTGGCCACCAAGCTTGACTACCTGAGCTCTATGTGATGGAAGGAAAGAACTGAGAATTGTCATCTGACCTCTATAGGCAATCTACACACACACACACACACACACACACACACACACACACACACACACACACACAAACACTGATCAAAGTGTCCTGTATCGCTCATGTGCCAAATATCCTTGAAGGTCATTTGACTTCTTGTCTTGTTCCATGAGGGAGACGAACATGCCTAGCACAGATGTTGAGGATTAGTGAACACTAGCCGAGGTGTGGTAGCAGGTCCTCCCCCATCACCTGGTGTGGTGACCACTGTTAGTCCCTGAACACTTTCTAAGGTCTGTTCTTCCTGGCTGCCAGAAGGAAGAGATGGCAAAGCCAGCCAGACTTACAGAACAGCCAAGAAATCACTTGACAGATGAACACTACATTTCACAAGGGAGGCAGGAATACAGGCTGAGAGAGAACTTGGGCGGCCCTGGCCCTGCCAACTGGACAGATGGCTTCCTCAAAGCCCCAGGGAAACAGTGAAGCCACATTAATTCCCCTGCACTTCTGGGAGGGGAGCATGCCACCCCTGCTTAAACTGTTCCATTGTGTAGAAGCTGCATCCTCTGGATGACAGGCCAGGGCAGATCCACCCAGACATTCCCAGTGTCATTTATTTGGGGGTAATCATGGTGCCACAGAACTTGAAAGGCAGGTTATTTTCTCCACATAGGACCCATAAATGGAGAGAGAGGTTTGCCAGCTGAGTGGAGAGTAAGGACATTGGTTTTGCTGTCACCACGGAAGTGCTTGGTGACACTGGACAGGAGTAACCTTTGTTCTCACATCTCCATTCTTACCACACCGTGATGAGAGCCGCTTCCAAAGGGTGCATTATGGAAGCCCGCCCCTTCTAACTAGGGGCGGAGAGTCAGGGCAGGTTGGGCAGACCGTCTGGAACGTCATCCAACTCCACACTGGTGCAGCTTTCGCACAGTGTGCAATTGGCCCGACTCTGAAAAAGCCAGGCCTTGTTCTCCATCGTCTAAGTAGCTAAAGGTTTCCTGGAGGCTCCATCCTGATCGCAATTACAACCTTTAGGATGCGCATTCTCTGGTGCTAGAAACTACTTTGGACTCCCTAATGCCCCAGTCCACGTTTTTTAAGTGTGCATTGATCCAAGCAGGTGGTTTGTAACCAGAATCCCAACTATGTGGGAAGCTGAGGCAGAGGGATCACCAGACCCCATGAGTTTGAGACCAGCCTAGGCAACAAAGTGGTGCTTTGTCACGTCAACAGAGGAGTCCCTCATACACTGCATACTGGCGCTGCCACACCTCAGCATCTCAGATGCTGTTACATCTTTGTCTCCCTTGATCCCGAGTGCCCGTGCTGGCTGAGAGCAGGGACTTCAGATGTGCTGTGGGTAGGGGTATCTCCAGTGACTTCTTTGTGTTAGATGAGCTTTCTCACAGCATCACTGCTGGGCACCGACTTGAGGAACTCAGGACAGGGAGGTGACAAAAGCCACATTTCACCAGCTCCAAGGTCACACGTGCCATTTCCACTGCCTGCTGTTGGCTGGGAGAGGCACTCGGTCACCTTAAGTCTGGCCAAGGAGAAGGAAGCGTTCCCTCCTGGGAGAAGGGCTAGGAAAATTGTACAAGATAAGGAAACCTTTTAAGTGGCAGTCAAACATTTGCTCCATCTCTGCTCCACACCCTGGACAGAACCCAGAATCTAGATGGCTGAGGAGTCTGGGGTCTATTGTTTTTATTGTCTCCACATGAAGATCTGTGCAAACGGCTCCTCCTCCCGTAAGCAGCTCCTGGAACCAGCAAGTATTCTCGGGTTGGTAATGACTTCATTGCATTTTAGTAGCACTGTGTGCAGCTGGGCCTCTGGATGTGGCAGGTCTGTTTCTGGAGGCATCCCGAAGATCAGTGGTTGGCCGTATTCATTGTGCGCAGAGCTGCATCGCTCACGCCCGCCTTTGTGCTGGCTAACAGCGCCTGTTCATCAGCGTGATCCATTATACTCCGGCTTTCTACTTCTGTCTCTCTGTGCAGATTCCACTCTCCTCTCTGATTGCTTTTGCTTCTTAGACCATTACTCTAGTTGATGGTGCCAGGTTATCATTGGACCCCATCTCTCTCTCCAATAAGCCTGTGATTGATACTAATCTTCCTCATGGGACACATTTTACAGGGTGCACAGCGGAAGCTGCTCTCTAAATCTTAGCTTTCTATGTGCTGACAATTTACAGGGCTGCGCCTCACACCCATGTCAGGAGACTTCAGGGAAATTTGGGAAGCGTGTAATCAGACCTCCTATAAGAATAGCAATGCCTTTTATATACAGACAGTCGCTCCCTTCAGACTGAGCTACACCCCATTGGTACTTTGTCCCTCCAGCCAATAAAACGCATGCCTGGCCGGGTAAGTGCTGTCTGGACACAGCCAGTTCGTAGAAACTCAGCATGCAGCATTCTCTCTTCCGAGGAGAGTGGTATTTTAATTACTCTAATGAAAGCTTTCCCGTGCTGTTATGTCCATAAAAACAGAAAATTAAAGTGGCTGCAAACATCTCACTGAAACATCAGCCTTACTTTCTGGTACCCCTGCCCTTTCTCTGGAAGCTAAGCTCCTGAGACATTTACAGGTACATGCCTTAACCCTCAGAGTAACACAGGCTTTAGAGTTCAAACTTTTCAGACAACATTTTATGAAGAGTTTTTATTTCTCAGTTGAAGTTTGTGTCTTAAAGACAGGAAGCAAATGCCATGCACTGTTTACTTGTGTGAGTGTTAGGGTCCCTGTCCTTTAAGGGGTAGCATCCACAAAATAGACTTCCCAGACTCTAAACCTCCAAACAAGGAGCCCCAGTGATGGGCACCAGCTAGATTACCCAGCACCAAGGGAGCTTCACTTGAGGTGGTATTGTGTTCCCCAAAATATTGTGCACCCTAATAAACTTATCTGGGGTCAGAGACAAAACAGCCACAATTTTAAACATAGAGGTTAGGCAGTGGTAGCACACGCCTTTAATCCTAGCATTCCAGAGGCAGAGATCTACCTGGATCTCTGTGTGTTCAAGGAAACAGCCAAGCATGGTGACTCACGCCCTTAATCCCAGAAAGCGAGTCTTTAATCTCAGGGAGTGGTGGCAGAAAGCAGAAAGGTATATAAGGCATGAGGACCAGAAACTAGAAGCTTTTAGCTGGTTAAGCTTCAGGCTTTCGAGCAGCAGTTCAGCTGAGACTCATTCTGGATGAGGACTCAGAGGCCTCCAGTCTGAGGAAACAAGACTTGCTGAGAAGTTGGCCAGGTAGGCTTAGCTGTGGCTTGTTCTCTCTCTGATCTTCCAGTATTCACCCCAATAACTGACTCAGGTTTGATTTTATTAATAAGAACTTTTAAGATTCATGCTACATTCACTTGTGCTGCAGACCAGGAAGACTTCCACAAACTGGCTCTGTTCCATATTTTAATTTAAAGATTCCATCCAGTTATATACTGTGGAAAATAAATGCACAAAAACTATTTTTTTCAATGCCATGGAAGGGCACACACTTGTAATCCCAGTCTGAGTAGAGGGAGACAGATATCCCAGGGGCTGGAGGGCCAGCCATTCTAACCTACTTGATGAGCTCCAGGCCAGTGAGAGACCCTGCCTCAGAAACTAAGGAGGATGGCACCCAAAGAATAACAGCTGAGACTGTCTTCTGGCCTTTACCACACATATATGTACAAGGGTACCTATACATACACACATGTGTATGCATGCATATGCACACACACACACACACACACACACACACACACACACACAAATTTTTTTAATGGCTGGACTTCACAGGCATCCTTATTCTGTCTCTGAAAGTGTGTCCTCCTCTGGGCTGGCCTTTAGGAGGTGAGATCTCAAAGACTGCTTGTTTTCCTCATCTGATTTTGGGAATTTCAGAAAAGCCTTTGCCATATGAGGCCCAGAAACTCTACATGAAAGACAAGGGCAGAGGATCTGCATGTATGCCCAGACTAAGGTATGAGTATGCAGGAGTGTCATGCACACAGCTAATCACCAGGCTCCGTGCCAGAGCAAACCAAGACCTGACCATCCGCAGAGTGCCAGAACCCCCAGCCTGTCTGGATCTGTCCAGGGATGCCTCCCATCTCCAAAGTCCATGAGCTGTGACCCACCTTCCTGTGTCTTCTCAGCAATGGTCAGGTCCCCCTGGTCCTCTTCCTTCTACCTCTTCTCCTCACTGGCCCCTGCCCTG